GGTATGTATGTGTATATCCAAAATGTATAAGCACGAAGCTTGAGAAAATCTAACGGCTCAGTGAAGATACAACAGTAAACAGGCGAAATGACTGACCAATTAGTTATTATCCACACAGAACAAGGCAAATCAATCACAACAAATCCCGGTCGGGCTAACCTCTTCATCCTTCAACTCATTGTCCCCCGAAAACCACAATCTCATCAGTTGGACCGGTTGGTCTGCTCAAAGCGCAGATCGGTCGGAAGAGTCCTGTTGCTTGGAATTACCCACCGACGTGTATATTGATCTCATATTTGTAAAGTATTAAAATAATATTCACCAACCTAATAAGATGACGTCATAAATGTAATGACATATGTGTAACCTCTTGTGTCTATAAATAAGGAGTCTTCCATCGAGCAACGACTGTGTAATTTCTACTATTCATTAGTGTCTTTTATTTATTTATTTATTTATTCAGGATGTTCTATTGTTTGTGGGTGTCTTCCCAACATTTTTGGATTCAACATATAATTTTTAATAATAATTTTATAGGTACTGGAACTGTGGGGCCTAACAAACCACGAGAAAATGATTTGTCTGTGCATGAAAATTATCAAAGGATAAATAAATGATTTGTCTATACATAAAAATGTGTCAGCATAAATTTTAAAGTAGATGGGCGTCTTAGGAATGAGATGCGGACGATCAAACGTAGATATCGAGTTTTTGTTAGTTGGAGCCCGATAGGAAACCGCTCCTGCCTATGCTTCCTGCTCCCACCTCTCTGTTCCTGATCGCGAAAGGTCGCAACCGTGACCTTGCAGTTTCGCGAACTGCTCCCGCCCCCTGGTTCGCGAAACGTCACCCCCCTACACGTTGCCTCGTTCCTTTAAGTTTCGAACAGGAGGATGGTTGCTTGGGGGCGTGTGGTTCGAGTGAGAGGAGTATCGCTCTCCAAGGCTTCTTCTTCGATGGTCTTTAGCATTAGCTCGCGGCAAAAGGAAAAAGAAGAATCTGATACACGACCTTTTACTGTTCTTCTTCGGGCTTCCTCGGGATAGAGGAAGAGAAGTGCAAACAGTCGTTCCTTGTGACAGAAGTAAATAGAAAGAAGAAGAAGATTGTTCTCCCTTAGCTTTTTTTTGTGGCTTGTGGCAGAAGTGAAATTGGGTTTATTTCTATTCTCTTCGGTGTATCTCAGTGTAGAGAGAGAATAAAAGATAACAACAAAGTGAGAGATTCCTCTTATAAATCGAGACGATCAACTGGTGTATATTACTTAAGTAGTAAAATCCTCTGCAACTCCGTGGACATAGACAATTTGTCGAACCATGTAAATATGTGTGTTCCGCTGTGTTATTGTTTTTTGGTTCTCGTTCTATTTTTTCGTTTCGTCAAAGATCATTCTTCTATTATTTTATATATCACAACAACTGGTATCAGAGTTTTGTTTCGTATCTGAAGTAGAATGATGATTGCAGATGAAGTGAATGTTTCAAGGATCAAGAAATTTGATGGCACATATTTTGGTTTTTGGATTGGTTTTTGGAGAATGCAGATGGTTTTTGGAGAATGCAGATAGAGAACTATCTCTATGGGAAGAAACTTCATCTTCCGTTATTGGGGAAAAGACTTAAATGGATGGGTGAGGTTTAATAGAATTTGTTGGATCGACAAGTTTTGAGGGTTATTCGATTGACCCTATAGAGGTCTATTGCACACAACGTCATCAAGGAAATAACAATTACATATCTCCTGACAGTCTTATCAAGTATGTCTGAAAAGCCATCGGCAAATAACAAGGGGTACTTAATGAAGAAGTTATTCAATTTGATGATGACAAAAGGTGTTTCTGTTGCTCAACACTTGAATGATTTCAATGCTATCACAAATCAATTGTCGTCTGTTGAAATTGATTTTGATGATGAGATGTGTGAGCAGATATTGTTGGCATCGTTTCCAAATAGTTGGAAAGCCACGAGGATGATAGTTAACAATTCTGCAGGTAAATATAAATTGAAATGTGATGATATGTGTGATTTGATTTTGGGTGAGGAGATACGCAAAAAAGATTCTGGAGAGATCTCATGTACGAGTTTGGCACTGAATGTTGATTTTAGAAGGAGATGGCATGATAAGAACTCAAATAAAGATAGATCAAAATCAAAGCCTGGTCAGCAGACAACCTGCTGGAATTGTGGAAAAGTTGACAACATAAAGAGAAACTGTAGGAATCCCAAGAAGATGAAGAATGATAGCGCAAAAGTGATATCTGAAGAATTACATGATGCACTATTGCTGGCAATTCATACTTCTGTTGATGATAGAATTGAAGGGGAGAGTGGCTCCGGGGCACCCATTTCTATTGTTCCACGGACATATGATGGAGAACCACAGAACTATGAAGAAATATTGTAATAAGAAAGTTCGAGCAAGTGAGAGCCGGCAGAACTTCCACCAGGGAAGAAGGGTGTACCAAGTGAAGACTGAGCTTGATGACAATAAAAGATACAAGACTATACTTGTTGAAAAAGACTTTCAACAGAGACAAGATATTGCACATGAAATGGGAGTTGAAAGCAGAGACAAGAGTAAACTAGGAAATAACTTGGAGGTGCAAAGGCTATGTGGACCTGCTATGTGGACCTTGTTGATATGTTGACTAAGGGTGTTACTCTTAAGAAACTGAAGTTGTGCGCAGCTTCAGTTGGTCTTTTGGTGTGAAAACATTGGCTTTGAGTTGCAGAAGTGGAGGATTCATGTTTGAAAAAAAGTGTGACGCCGCCAGTAGAGGATATCAGTTCGAGGAAGTTGACGTTGTAGCCAGTGTATCAGTCTCCAAGTGAGAGATTTGTTAGCTGAAGCCCGATAGGAAACCGCTCCAGCCTATGCTTCCAGCTCCCGCCTCTCTGTTCCTGATCGCGAAAGGTTGCGGCCGCAACCCTGCATTTTCACGAATTGCTCTCGCCTCCTGGTTCGTGAAACGCCGCCTCCCTTCATGTCGCCCTGTTCCTTTAATTCGCGAACAGGATGACGGTTGCGTGGGGGTGTGTGGTTCGAGTGAGAGGAGTATCGCTCTCCAAGGCTTCTTCTTCGACAGTCTTTAGTGTTGGCTCGCGATTGAAGGAAGAAGAATAATCTGATACACGACCTTTTAGTGTTTTTCTTCGGGCTTCCTCGGGACAGAGGAAGAGAAGTACAAACAGTTGTTCCTTGCGACGGAAGTAAGAAGAAAGAAAATAAGAAGATTGTTCTCCCTTGGCATCTTTTTTGTGGCTTATGGCATAAGAGAAATTAAGTTTATTTCTCTTGTAAGTTTATCTTCTTCAGTACATCTCAGTGTAGAGAGAGAAAAAGAGAGCAATGAAGTCAGAGATTTCTCTTGTAAGTCGAGATGATCGACTGATGTATATACCTCAAGTAGTAAAATCCTCTGCAACTCTGTTGACGTAGACAATTTGTCGAACCACGTAAATCTGTGTGTTCCGCTGTGTTAATGTTTTCTAATGTGAATTTTCTCATTTCATTTTTTTGCTTCTTCAAAAATTGTTTTTCTATTATTCTTTATACCACAACAGTTTCCAGATGAATAATTGTGAAGGAAGCAGCTTACCCAAACGGTCGACAAAAGACGCCAAGAAGAAATCTTATAGGGCAGTAATCAGCCTTCAGGACAATCAATAGGGAACAATCTGTCGGACCTATATATCAATTGAACTAAGGCTTGTCAGACGATCGACAACCCTTACCGATCGAATAGACCCTCGATTTTATTATATGCAAATAATTTTGGGATTACCAAAAAATCTCTTCTCAAAAGTTAATAATAAGCGGACAAAATTATATATTGATAGTAGTTGACGGACTAAAAAAATAATATTATTATTTTAAGGGAATAAAATTTCTGCCAATATATTTATACTTTTACTATCATTTTCATGCATTTGTTAATTTAGAAAATTAACAAATAATTGTAGAAAATTGAGTGAGAATAAAGTTAAAAATAAAAAAAATAATATGCTGATTTTATAAAAAATAAGATTATTTATAAATTACATAAATTATAATAAGGGATATAAGTGTAAAATAAAACCTAAATATAAAAGTGAAATTTGAGGAACATGTTTAAATACAAATTATAATAAGGGATATGAATTTTGCTCGAAGAACGTTAATTGCTTGAAAAACAATTTGAATTTTTGCTTGGAGCGAGATTTGATCGAAATAAACGAGTCGAGCTGTAAGCCAAGTCTCTGCTTCAAATTCTTTTTTTTTTTAGCCAAATATGGATCTTCTCAAACTGACTCGAGATCAACTTGTAGCAATTTTTATTTACAAAACATGTATATATAATGCCTAGAAAAATTGAATATGACAACTCACGAGCCAATTTCAAGCCAGAATGAATTCAAATAACTCAATTTGAGACACTTAGTTTCAATTTCACGTTGGATAGAGCTCAATTTGAGCTAGCTTATTACGATTTCGAGCCAGATCATGCTTAAATCAATTTCAAGACGTCTCATCTCAAAATCAATTATAACAGATCACTAGCTAGTAGATTGAGAGCTACACTTAATCTATTCGAGCCAATTTTAAGCTGACTCCAACTCGACTCAAAATCAAATCACTAACATCCCTAATTCAAATTATATATATATATATATATAGT